CGCCCCTGAACACAGGGAGCCAGCAGGAGTGTGATACAATGCGTTCCAGAGCCTGACCACTCTGGAACGCACTGTTTGTGGTGTGAATCGGCCCTTACACAGCAGCTAAACACATGTAAATGCGGCTAAACCCAGGAACATCTTATACTCGAGTATATACGGTAAGTGCATGAAAAAGTGATCTGGGAAGCATAAAAGTTGTTTATACTTCCCAAATAACTTTGTGTTTAACACAGGTGGCCCGTGTACATGAGGCATAAGAATTCTGTATGTTCTAGTGTTCTAGATCAGTGGTTCTCAACCCGTATAACCTCAGGAACCACATTTGTTCTTGGTCATAATTCACGAACCTTACTAAAAGTGGCGTTGGTTAAAGAACAAAAAATATTCTTAACCCTTGCAGTGGGGCTACCCAGCACTGCAAGGGTTAATTGCTAATTTTTGCCTATGTTGAAAAATAACAGTTATTCTCACCTGAACCTCAGAGCCTGCTGACTGTTACAGATTCACTCCAGCCGGTCTCCCCCTCCACTGCAGGGATGGTATGTCCCACGGTGGCCTCACATCCTTTACACTGTATAGCATGTGATGACTCATGGGGCCTTAAACCTCTGCAACGATGGGGGTGGGAGGCTCCAGGGTATGATCTAAGAGCCAGATGGCTCGAAAGATCGGTGAGTATAACTTTTTATTTTTCAATCTAGACAAAAACATTTGACACATTTTTTGTACCTGGAGTTCTGCTTTAATTAACATAGGTCTTCTCTTCCCAAATTGTTGCAAAGTCAAGTGATAGCATCTACTCCTTTGCTGCATTATCTGTGATGTAAAATAAACAGGGAATCAAAGGGCAAGCACTGGGCTTCTCTGTAATGCCAGCAGAAGGTTGGCAAGAATAATAACCTAATATATTGTACTGAGGATATTGTAATTATTGAATAACTCCAGACACAAAGACGTGCTCAGTTTAAATCACACCTGTTTATGTTTTACCTGCAACAAATGTTTGTAATTCAGTACAGCCAGTCTTGTAACTTACACATCTGCTACACTACAGAAGTCAGGACAGCAATGCACTTCCTAGTTAAGTTATTCAGCTTCCTGTTTTACTTGCCCACCTCCATTAAGAACCCTACAGCATTTGCCGGCGTATAAGACGACTCGGCGTATAAGACGACCCCCTACTTTTCGTGTTAAAATATAGGTTTTGGGCTATACTCGTCGTATAAGACGAGTATAGCCCAAAATAATGTTTAAATGCACCCACTAACATCCATGGCAATATTCCCGAGCGTGGCTCGGGGTTAATTTTCAGTACCATAAGCGGTAATCCCCGAGCCAGACTCGGGATTACAGTCTCTTACCTTGTCAACGAGCCCCGCTGTGTCCTCCGTCTTCTGCCGAGCCAATCACGGCAGGCTTTGTATTAATCAATAGAGGCTTTGTATCCATTAATACAAAGCCTGCCCCAATTGGCTCAGCGCGGTATACTGTATGTAGCCGAAGCTACATACAGTATACCGTATCCTTCCGTATGTACCCGGCATATAAGACGACCCCCGATTTTCGCGGGATGTTTTAAGGTCTCAAAACCCGTCTTATACGCCGGCAAATACGGTACATGCTGCATTTAGTTAATGAGTCATTGTAAAGTTTAACTTTAATTATTATTTAATACATTAATAAATTATTATTATTTTTTTGCTGAGCTTGTACATAATGGGATGTGTAGCTGGAGTGCTGAGGTTGCCTACACCTGCAATAAGTTCTCAGATTCACAGATGCATCCAAAACACATCAAGCAATCTTGTATTTTCCACTCTAGAAGATAACTGACATAACTACATAAAGAGGTGCCTTTCGCAACTTGCCAGCAGCAGATTATAAAGTTTATTGCCTTAGCAGCCCATAGATTCTGTAACAGTAAAGGTATGGACTGTTTCAGCATCGTGAACAGCACCTATCAGCAATATAGGTGCTGTATAGGTAAAAGAATACTATGTTTCAGCACCATGGACAGCACATGCCAGCAATATACTTTAGGTGCTGTATAAGTAAAGCTATAGACTGTCAGCACTAGTGATGGGCTTGGGCGTATTCGCAGGTCCACGTGCTGAGCCCGCCAGGAAGCTGACAGCGTTCAGCGCCAATCACAGGCACTGAGACATTTCCCGATCTCTACAGCTGCGGACCGGGAACATGTCTCAGTACCTATGATTGGCGCTGCGCGCTGTCAGCTTCCTGGCGGGCTTGGCACGTGGAGCTGCGAACACGCCCTAGCCCATCACTAGTCAGCACCATGGACAGCACCATGGGCAGCACATGTCACTAATATAGGTGCTGTATAAGTAAAGGTAGAGACTGTCTCAGCACCATGGACAGCACATGTCACCACTATAGGCGCTGTACAAGTAAAGGTAGAGACTGTCTCAGCATCGTGGACAGCACATGCCAGCAATATACAGTAGGTGCTGTATAAGTAAAGGTATAGAATGTGTCAGCACCATAGACAGCACATGTCACCAATATAGGTACTGTATAAGTAAAGGTATAGACTGTGTCAACACCATGGACAGCACATGTCACCAATATAGGTACTGTATAAGTAAAGGTATAGACTGTGTCAACACCATGGACAGCACATGTCACCAATATAGGTACTGTATAAGTAAAGGTATAGACTGTGCCAGCACCATGGACAGCACAAGTCACCAAATATGGATGCAGTATGAGTAAAGGTATACTATGTTTCAGCAACATGGACAGCACATATCAGCAGTATAGGTGCTGAATAAGTAAAGTTATACAGGGTTTTTCACAAAAGGGTGAAGGGTTTGGAGAAGGTAGGACAAGTGAACAATCTAGGCCAAAATAGCTGATTTGGAAAGATTCTCCAATTCAGCTCACTTTCCAGTTCAGCTATGTTGTCCTAGATTGTTCACTTCTTCTGCCTTCTCCAAACTCTTCACCGTTTTGTAAATAACACTTATAGACTATTTCAGCACCATGCACAGCACATATCAGCAATGTACAGTAGGTGCTGTATAAGTAAAGGTATAGACTGTCCCAGCACCATGGACAGGACATATCAGGAATGTAATGTAGACAGATAAAGGACTTTCACAGTGATAACTCAAAGTGACTATACTAACTGAACTGTACAACATAAACCTGGCCATACAACCTGATTGTACAACATCTGTACAATCACCTTTAGAGATGTGAGAAGGGCCTACCTAAACAAGCCCTAAATATATGTAAGGACAGTTTAACAAGTGTTTTCTGCAAAGCAATGGTGACCAACAACAATGTAAATGTTTGGTAACCCAAATTATCCAGACTGCAGCTGCGGAGGGTGATTAATTACATTGTTAGATAATTATATCCCAAATAAATACATTACTACAGCCTTGAGCAAATCTGTCACCATCTATGATTAGAAACAATTAAAGCATAACTAAACCCAGAACCAAAACTGTAATATTTTTCAAATTACCAATCCTTAGATGTGGTGGCTGCATTAGTTTTCTTTTTTAGGCTAAATACATATCTTGTAAGCATTGCAATTTACAGGTTGATTTTGCCAGAATTCCAGGGCCCTTGCAATTTCCTGTGTACTGAACTGATATCTCAAAAATTTTTATCAGCTTTCCCATATTTCTTATGTAACTTACAAAACCGTTCTTCCCTAAGAGGACATGAGGGAAGGAGGAGGTGTTTGTAGCTCAAATTAAGAAAGCAGAAAGATGCTGTTTTAGTGTGGTTCCTTTCCCTTGCAGTGTCCTACAGAGCCACTCTTGTGTGAGCTAGTAAACTGTGTATGCCCTCACAAACAAATAGACACAGCACGGCAAGCCACTCTCCTCCTCTTTTCTCCAAGCTAGTAGATGGAAAGCCTGGATACTGTGCTGTGCCTTGTAATCTTGTACTGGAGTTCAGGCAAGCCGAGCTAAGAGAGTTTGAGCCATATGTTCAGAAACATGATGATTTGCAGTGCTTGGGCAAAAATGTAAAGAAATACTTTGCTAGGCAATGTATATTTGCTTTATCTGAATTCATTATTGAAAAAAAGATTGAGGATTTAATACTACTTTAACCCATGTTGTGTTAGTTTGTGACGCTGGGAGGGCAGCAGAAACATTGTCTTCTCATGGGAGTTGTAAAAGTAAAATACAGCATGCTGTTCTGGAGAAGGCCATTTGCAGCTGAACAAATAAATATACTGTAGACAGCTGTGTCCCTTTGAGTGAGGAATACTACTATGCCTTGTGTATCTAATTAGCTGCAACAATCATTCAGTAGAATTCATCTGGAATGTTTTCTTAACCTCCTCTGACCAGACAGTTCAGCATAATTGTCAGCATAATGGGGAGTCAACAGCCTTCAAATCTAGAGGTCAAGGGTTCAATTCCTGTATGAATAAAAAAGTGACTCTCTTGAACTCATAACCTCTGCATTAGAAGGCTGTAGATTTAACCATGACCCTTTCATTTCATTTTTCAGCAAAGTGACAAGATATATGATGGACAGCAGTATTCCTGTTAGAATATTCAAGGCATATTACACCTTTTTCAAAAAGAAATAAATAAATGCACACACACACAATTAAAATTACATTTATTATTATTTTACAAGTGGATCGTAGGTGCAATGCACAGGCTCATGCAGATTGTTCCCCCAGCTCAAGTCTGTATGGAAGTTTGGACCTTTGGTTATGAGACTGGAGAAAGTAATCAAAGGACTACATGTATAGCGATGTCAGTGCACATCTGCTCAACTGATTCTACAGTGGCAGTCTTCTATTCACAAATCCACGTGAATAGATCTGTGAATAAATGACAGGGCGGAAGCTATGCACAGCTGTGCTTAATTTAAAACAATACAAGATGCTTCAGGGAGAAAAAGCCCCTGATTCAGGTAGAATGAGGGCAGTTTGTTAAAGGTGGTGGTAGGGGGTGGAATGTGGACTGTGACCATGTGTGAAACATGACTTATGTTAGAAAGGTAGGATTAGCCTTTAATATCCTCTGTATATGTACCCAGCTCCAAGGATCCTCCAGTGGAATAGACTTCACTTAGGAGTTATTCACACTTATTATTCACATATATGCGCTGTAGTTTAGTGTGAAAGGTAAAGGGAACTGTATTTGCACATTCACACCTACATCATGTGAATCCAGCCCTAATAAAATTTTGGCAGGGAGGAAGTTCTCTCTGGCACGTTTCACCCAAACACAAGCTTAGTCATAGAGATTAGAACTTTGCAGATAAGATACAGTATCATCCACAAAGGGAATGCATTGTTTTCAATAACTTAGCCAACTCCTAGACTTGCATTATGAGAAGAAACAGTAAAATACAACCATTGTGTAGCACTGCAAAGCCGGAAGCAGAGCCTGAGTATATACTAGACATGTGCGATTCGTTTCGTTCCGAATCGAAATTTGGACGAATTTTCGGACATTCGGATGTATCCGAATTACAGATATAACGAATGCAAACGAATCCGAATTTCCGTTTCCGAAATTCGTTAGCGGTAGTTCGTTCGAACGTTCGTTTCGTTTTCGTTTCGTTCGTTGGAGCAAAGTGACATTAGAGAAGGAGAAAAACATTTTTTCCCCCTCAAATGTAACTTTGCTGCAAACGAAAAAACGAAACGAACTTTCGAACGAACTACCACTAACGAATGTCGTCTCTATGTAATATTATGAAACATACATTGATGAGATTTTTTACAGTACATCTTTTCAATCTGGATTCAGGTGCATATCTAAGAAAATATTGAAAAGTCTTTACATTTCCTTTCATTATACGTCCTTTACACAAGTACTTTTCTCTCTTTCACTTTCCAGGACAATTAGCAAAGTGTTTGGTCTTTGGTTGGAATGAATAATTCATTAATATTCTTTGTTAATGATTTATGTGCCATATGCCACTAGTACAGGATGTATGTGTAACTTCCAGCCACCTTCATTCAGATGATACAGGGGGATAATGGCACGAAGAGATGAATTACCATTGAGAGAAGAAAGAGTGATTAACCCTTTATATACACCAGCTGGAAGGTGCTTTGTACAGCCGCAAAACGCGCTGCATACATCACACACTACAAAACACAGAGCCATATTTCAGGATTTCCATGCAGTTATTCATACAGTGGTAGATAATGGACCTGAAATGATTGCAGACAAAAGACATCAGTGATGAGCATCCATTAGCGCTTATTGCTTTAGTGCCAAACAATTTAGATAAACAGGAAAATGGCTGCAATAAGGCTTAAAATAACATAATTAGGTAACATTTTGCAACCCACCTTCCCCCAAAACACACAATCCATATTTTTTTTTTGTGGCTGTAGAATCCACTGAGCAAATGTCAGGCTAAGAATTCCTGTATGTCAGTAATCATGTAGCGTTATTTAAGAGCAAATTCAGGCAGGTAAAATTGTTCCTTTAATAGCCATTGCAATCCAAAATCCATTATCGCTAAGCAGTTTGAGTAGAGTTTAACCTTAAGCCTTAAAACCACTAAACTAAAAGTTAGCTTTTAGCCATTTTTATGGCACGTCGTATTTCTAAGGTGTGCAGAGGTATGAAGGGATAATATATTAAAGCAGAATAAAATCTTAAAGCATATCCAAACCCAAAAACAAAACTGTAATATACTGCAGATTATCAGTCATTAGATATGGTGGCTGCATTAGTTTCCCTTCAAGCTTTTTTTCCCTTTATTTTCACCTGCTATTAACACACTTCCATTTCTAGGATTGAATACTCACTCTTCTTTATCAGGACAGCAAAAACAAGATAGGACTACAGAACCCAATCCACCCTCCTACTGTCTATATCTTAGGGGGCATGCTTCTGTTGTCCTTAGAGAACAATGCAATTAGTAACAGCACAAGCAGAGAGCACGTGTGGGGAATTTATCAAAACTGAAGCAGACAAATTCTGGAGCAGTTGTCCAGGGCAATCAATCAGCTTATATCTTTCATTTTCAAAACCTAACTGAACAAACTAAAAAGAGAAGCTGATTGGTTACTATCAGCAACTGCTCCAGATTGCTCCAGTTTTTATAAATGCCCCCAATGGAGTTATTAGCTTTTAAAATTTCAGGCAAGATTAACAGTTTTGTTTTTTTTACCTATCAAACAGATACCTATCAAACCACTTTCAATGGTATTTAATAGACCAAATGGAGCAAATAGGTTTACATTCACTTGAACTATGTTTAGTTTGTTAGATATATTTCTTAGAAGTGAGCGTTTTATGCCACCTGCAGGCAAACACCGAATAGGATGCTTGTCCCACTCTAAGCTACTAGCAGAGCACCAAGTGCCCCTTGCTTTTGAGTTTAAAGCAAATCTGTCAAACTCTCCTTAAAGTGACACTAAACTCAGGAGTTAAATCTTAAAAATGCATTTAAGTACCTTAACTGTTAACAAAAATGTATCTTATTTGTGTATCAGTCAGCTGTAGATCCTCAAATCATCTCTGAATTCAACAAAAGTTGGCTACTTTTGTTCCCCATGGTCCCTGTGTTTAGCCACCACTCCAAGCTTACGCCTGTGATGGTCTACAATCTCACGTTCAGTTTACTACTTTGTATTGAAATTATAATTAAATGCCTCGGTAATGAGATACAATGTTACTATTCAAGAGAACACTGATGAGAAAAGCATATAATTGTAACCATTGCTATCCCTGTGGTATTAATGGTTACATTTATGTGTTCATTCCATCCAGTTCCATCCCAACATTCCAGCTTTACTAAGAGGATCATTTGATTTCATTTTTGTTTTCTTAAAACTTAGAATGATTTAAAAGACTGAGGGGGGAATTTATTAAAACTGGAGCAGACAAAATCTGGAGCAGCTGTGCATGGTAACCAATCAGCTTCTCTCTTTCATTTTCAAAGCTTAACGGAACAAACTGAAGAGAGAAGCTGATTGGTTGGCATGGGCAACTGCTCCAGATTTTGTCTTCCCCACTTTTGATAAATCCCTGCTTGAGGCTTTTATTTTACTCCCATGTTGAATGTTAATTTAAGGGCACAGTAGATATATATATATAGATATCTATATAGATATCTTTGTAAAGATGAAAAAAGACACAGATCCATCTAGTTCAGCCTATATATGTATGTTTTTGTTTGTGTGTATGTGCATGTCTTTATGAACGTCCATACCCCTGCGTATGCTGCGAACTGGGAGACTCATCCTCATGTTTTTTGAAATGATCTACCCTCTCAGCTCATGCCACTAACTGTTGTTCTTGCTCTGACAGTAAAAAAAAATCCTTTGCAGTTTAAGATTAAACTACTTCTAATCCAACATTATGTTGTGTCCATGTGTCATCTTTAGAGTCCATTATACCTGATACTGCAGTCCCCATTGATAGAGTTTTATACTGCAATCATATGCCCTCTTAAGTTCAATTTCTGTAGTCGGTCTTCTCTCTCTAGTTCAATGACATCATTCCTGAGGATTAGCGTGCAAAATTGAACTACATACTCAAGATGAGGCTGTTTTGTATATTGGTAGAGTTACAGTTTTATTTCTTGAGAAAATATATTTTTAATGCAGGATAGTATCCATGCTCACTTTGCTAGCTGCCCTTTGGCATTACATGCTATTGGTGAGACTGTGGTCTACTAAGACCCCCAGATCTTTCTCCCTCCCGGACTTCCCTAGAGGACCACCTCCTAATGAGTATCTTAGATTTATATTTTTTGCTCTCAAGTTCATGCTAGTGATTCTATGGGGGGAATTTATCAAAACTGGAGCAGACAAAATGTGGAACAGATTTGCACTGCATCAGCTTCTCTGTCTTATTTTCAAATCTTATCTGAGCAAACTGAAGAAAGATGCTGATTGGTTGCCATGGACAACTGCCTTAGAATCTGTCTGCTCCAGGTTTGATAAAATCCCCCCATATCTTATTGTGAAGTTATTGCCCTACATAGCTTGGTATCACCTGCAAACACTGAGCTTGAGCTGTTTATTCCAAAGTCTATATTTTAGTATTGTATAAAAATGCAGCTCAATAGTTAGAGAGTGTCTGCTTCCATCAGATTCTTTGTAACACCGGTATCTTCATGGGCAAACAGTTCCATTTAGCATAGCATACACTTCAGTTTAGCAGCGTAACCTTGAATAAACGTCCTAAATCTTCAGTTTAGCTAATGATATTGGGTACAAGTTCTACACTCTGAGGTGTGAGCTGATATAGCTATGACGAAGCCAAGAAAATTATTAGCATGTTCACAGCCTAGACTCAGCTGTTAATTTGAAATAATATGACAATCTCTCTCATTGCAGGTGCATGTTCATGAGACAGTGCTGTGTGCCAGGGCTGAATTCCTCTGTAGCCAAGTACTGCAGGTTTCACTCTGCAGCGAAGAGTTAACTTCAAAGGTTTACTGAATAGCAAACGTTATTCTGGGACTGAACGCCTGGAGCTGGAGCTGCCTAAGCAGTTTGTAAAAGCCAACAATTCGCTGTAGTATGAAGCAGCTAGTAAAATATCTGATGTTGACTTGTAAATGTGATGTATTTTTATTGATAAACAAATTTTTGTTTTGTTGTCAATTTAAGTAAAATGTGCCTAGTGGCAGCCAAATTCTTATTCCTTGGCCATTGTGGCCGCTTTGAACATCACAAGCAACAAATAAATTGTGTAGGCATTAAAATGCTACTCCTGCCAAGGATAAATAAATCCACATTTGAGAAAGATATAACATATGGCTAAATGTTTATAGACACCCGACCCTTACACCTACACTATAGGGCATAAAGAATGTGGACAGCACAGATGCCAGCTGTCCCAGATTTGTCTGGAAAGTCCTGCTTCTTGGACCTCTTGATTTACTGCGCATGCATAGCTCATGCATAGCTCACAATTGTCCCTTATTTGAAGGGACTATCCCTCAGCTGGAGCTAAATCCTCAGTTGTCCCTTTGTTTAGCCGGATATGCAGATATCTACAAAAAGGTTCTATTTACCTGCCAAAAGTGGTATTCTGTACTAAAGCCTTTATCTTATTTTCTAAATATCTTGTTTTCTATTTAAAAAGCCAGTATAAAGCAAAGGTAATGGTGAAAAAATAAAATTTTGGATTTACCCAATCATTTTTGGCATATAAATTCTTAATAATCTGCATAACTGGGGCAGGGATGTGTCCATTGCCAAACTACATTGCGCTAGAAGGTGTCCCCCTTTCTCATCTCATACAGTTTGGAGGTATCACAGCGGTTGACCTTGAGGAGGTCGATCCAGCTTTTTCACCCCTTCCACCCCTCCAGGTTAGCAAATGATCTGCCCTGCAGGGCAAGTTGGATCAGATTCTTGGCTGACAGGGCACTCTTTTTTGCATAGTCTGTGGGGGGGGGGGGGGTAGGACATGAAGAAGCTGGAGCAATGTCACCGTGACATGTGTCCCACTGCAGCTTATACCAGGCCTCGACCCAGGCCGTGCTGATCTATGTAGAAGAACTCTTTGACTTTGCAGATCTCTGTCACCAGGAAGGAGGTCGTCCAAATTACTAGCAGGAACAACAGGTACATTTTAAAGGTATTATTTTTATTAACACTTGCAATAGGGTTACCCCCACACTGCAAGAGTTAAGTGCTCGTTTTGGTCTAGGGCTGAAAATAACAATAATTCTCCAGGCCGGCTTGTTCTTAGACCGATCCCTGGAGCATCTCTCCCCCGCCGCCAGTCTCTGAGTCATCACGTTCTGTATACAGGTAGTAGAACATGAGAAGACAGAGGGACATACCATCGCTGCAGAAGAGGAGGAGGCAGGCTTCAGGAACTGCTGTCACAGCTGGCCGGCTCGCAGTATCGGATGAGTATAACTTTGTTATTCTCAGCCCTAGACCAAAACGAGCCATTAACTCTTGCAGTGCAGGGGTAGCTTCACGGCAAAGGGTTAATTAAAAAAATTACCCGGAGTCCTTCTTCAAAAAATGAAAGATTTATTAAAAACCAAAGACCACAGGGAGTTCCTAGATTTCATCAGAAAAGTCTGAATTTTGTTTTTTTTTTTTTGGGGGGGGGGCGGTTCAAGGGGTGTTTCACCCATATTTGACGATGGGTTTAGGGGTAGGGTTCTCAATGGATTACAAGTGTGGTAAATGCACTGCACTTCACTCCATTCATATTTCCTCCCATCCTTGTAACCGAAAGGCTGTACCTATGTATAGACAGGGACAGGAGGAAGAGCCAGCGGGAGTCGGAACATTGCACTCACAATGCACTGATCATGGTTGCAGTACTTTAATGGCTCCAAAGCAAAAAAATTATAAGAGCACATTTTTTTCTTTTATGGATGTGTGTGCATGTATTATTATTATTATTTTAAACTTAGCTTTAACCTTCAAAAGTCTGCTTTACAATCTGTCTGCCTGGATGTAATTATTCTTCTTTCCTGATTAGCTAAGTTCAGCAAGTAGAAAAAAAAAAAAAAAAACATTATTCAAGCCAATGGCAAAAAAGAGGGATGAAGAAAGTGAAAGTGCAAGTGAGCAGTCAATTATAATGCCACGTTATCATGGATGCTTTCTAGGGATTGCTAGAGAGCTGTGACATAAGGGAGGAAGCAATAGAGAGCTTGCAACAGCCTCTATGCAGGTACTGTTAGATGGGAGAACATGAGGAATGGTAAGGGTACCTGTAACCTACAAAATATCCAATACAGACCCTCTAATATTTATTATGGTACATTTCCCCTAATGCGGATTTTGGAAACAAAGTATTTGTGATTATGAATGACTTCCTTAATGTTTAGTGTGTGTTTTCACTATTATCAAAATAAAGGCATTTAAGTAAACAGTTGCTACAACACAAGTCTACTAATGGCCATTGTCAAGGAAATAGATTGATTGGAAAGGGTTGGCTTGAGAACAAAATTTTCGATTGCTAATTGCAGAGTTTGTCGGAATCACAGTAGGGAATGAAACTCTGGCCTGTAATTAAAGAAATTAGTTGAACAATGGCCCAATTTTGTATATTCTGAGTTGCTGGGATCACTCCAACTATTTCTGTTTCCCCTTATGTCTGTCAGAAGCATGATTCTATTTGTATAGGTACATCCAGGATATTCTCTGTTGGTATTTCTTGACTGGTGCCGAATACAAAGTGTGTTGAGAAGGTTCTTTAAACAATGTACATACAAGATTCACTTGTTTTTATTTTTTCCCAAGTAGTGTTCTCGACAGCTTGCCGGTATAATAAACATTCTATGTAATCTGTCAGTCAAAGGATTTTGTAAACATCCTGATGCACCAAAGATGAAAAAGAAAAAATGATCTGGAACGTCTCCACAGGAAAGAGATTTGTTGCTGGGTCGATCCATACAATAGGAAGAATATAAATATTCATATAGAGTATTGCCATTTGCAACCAATCGGATAACTTTTTCTTTTTCTAACCTACACTACCAAAGTATCTGGAATCTGATTGGTAGCTGTGGATGGCTTACAGTTTCTTCCAGTATTTTTAAAGGGAATCTGTCATTAAAAGAAAACTATAGGGTACTCCTTTTTTATATTGTTCATTTCCTAATGATACAAGAGTACATTTTCCAAGATACTCCTGTAATCCAAAATCCACCATAAGCTTACAATTCAATATAATATACTGTGGGCAGGGCTACGCACTGTGCTGAGAAGCGATCCTGACAATTTTGTTGGGATTCACCCCACTCTTCTTTCCTCCCATTGAGTGACAGCGTCTTGTAGGAGCCACTGCTCGTTCCTGAATTTTCATATGGACGTGCATACCCGTGTGAATAAGCCCTAAACGTTTTAGTTTCATGCAGAATCAGCTCGTCCCCTGAACAGTGGCCCTGATAGGGTCCTGTTTTAGGGTGGCTCCTTTCCCTTGCAGTAATTTGTGTGTGTCTCTGCAAACTCACAGGTCACTGCCCTGCTCCCTGTTCCTACTTCCTCCCTTCTCCAAGCTAGCATAGGGACAGCTGCCAGAGACTGTGCTCTACCTTGGTGATCGTGTACTGGACAGGAAGTTCAGGGAAGCTGAGCTGAGAGAGTTGGAGCTGTTTGGAAACATGATTACTGCAAGTGCTTGGAAAAATATGTAAAGTGATATTCTTATGTACATTTGTTTGCTTTGGATTCATTATTGAAATTGAATGTTTGAGTGTTTAGTACTGCTTTAAATGCCGTAATCTCTAAAGTGATAAGGTAAACATTCCTGTAGCTTAAACTCAGCATTATCCCCTAAAAGTTCAGTTTGTTAATGCTTTTCTGTTTTTGTTGCAGCATTCTAGCCACAGCCGGAACTCACTTTAATACTCACGTGGACCTGCGAACATTGCGGGCAGTGCGTGTTCTCCGACCACTCAAGCTGGTCTCGGGAATTCCAAGTAAGTTTCACTTCTTCACTTTAGTGAAGCAACATTGTCATCATTTAAAACTTTTTTGGTGTTTTTGTAAAGTTTTTTTTTCTGCCCAGACCTTTTCATTTGAACTGATACAGCTGTAAACTGGTCTGTTCTGTTAAGTGACTTTGCACAATGGGAGGGGCCATTTTCAAACCTATGTGAATGCTTCATGCTGTGTCCACAAGCTTCTTCATGCAGTCCTACTCTCATTAGTGAGATATGTATTATAGCATAAACCTGATATAGCATAAACAATTATCTTGTGTCATGTAATGAATATTGGAAAAAAAGCTGAAATTAGTAAACTCTTTACTTAATTTTAAACTACCTTGGATGGGATTATTCCTTAGCTGCACAATACAAGAATTCTGGACACTAAGCCTCCATTGCCAGTGAGGACCTGCCTAATCTGTTTCTACAGCAAGCTGTACACCAGGCAAACAGCTACATACACAGATCAAATGCATATACAAGAGCTGATATGCCCAACAAAAGAATGTGTATTTTTGTCCATCCAGTCCTGTGGTTTACACATCTATGGCAGAAAGCACAGTCCTGCCTGGAAGGAGGGGGACCTGGTCTTTCCCGCAGTTTCATGTTTACTTTCAAGTCTGTTCTCCACCCCCACCCTGTGACTGGACAGTGAAAATAGAAGCAGCACACCAATGAGCTCATCTCTTTGGCACTCTGCTCTTTTCTCCCCATGCTGTACAGTGTCTTATATAGGCTGATACCAAGTCAAATGATATTACTTTTTTTTTTTAGAAACAGATAAGACAAGTTCTCTTGCTGGCTAGTGGGGCCAAGTGTTGGACTGCTTTGTGTTGTGCATTTATGTTAATAGCTGACCTGGAAGCAAATTTCTTTCTACGGAGCTCTGTAAATGTAGCAACTCAGGGAACGACTGGCCGTTGATATTGCACCTGTATCTTTAATCTGTATTAAGCTGTCAGCACTGTGCCATGTATCTCTCCTGCAGGTTTACAGATTGTCTTGAAATCCATCATGAAAGCGATGGTACCTCTGCTACAGATTGGATTGCTGCTTTTTTTTGCCATTCTCATGTTTGCAATTATTGGACTTGAGTTTTACAGTGGCAAGCTGCACAAAGCCTGTTACAGGAATCAATCAGGTAGGCTCTGCACCATCATATGAGAAGAAATATGTCTGTTATGTGCTTATTGTGGCAATAACCTTCAAATATGTCTGTCATTTACACACACACACGGGGGGTGAATAATTTGTTGTTGCTAAATTATTGTATTTGTTCATTAGGAGGTAGTGATAGTAAAGAAATACCCAGTCTCTTTTAATAATTCTTAAGAGCAGTATTCCATGACAACCAATCAGAATGAATCTTTTCTTGGCCTGATTTAGGCAGAATTAATTATTGGCTTCTATGGGATATTGTACTTAAAGGCAATTGGTCAGGAAAGGAATGTAAAATGTGCCATTAATGGCCTGTTCTTGAAGAAGCTCCGGGCTGCCAACATCATCCCTGCTTCATTACATATTGAAATTCTAAACCAGAACAAATATTTGCACAATAGGTGTCACAACATTTGCATATTCTTGTTCTGTATTGAAGATTGATAGTGATGGAAAGATAAAGATTATAGCTTCAAAGGATACACCTTCAAAAACGAGTCAACACTGACAACCACCATATTGTTATGCTAATAGGTCAGGTTTTGTTTGTGGGAGGGGTCAGGACCTCTGTTTGGCTTTTGTTAATGTCTGTGTGCCTATTAGGGAGATTAGCCTTCACTTCCTTTCCTCAGAGATAAAACAGGAAATACATCTCTCTCAAAATGGAAACATTGTGTTTACAGTGATCTGCTCCAAGCTCTCCTATGGAGTGCTGTGTAGCAAGAGCAAAGTCCAAGGAGCTGATTGTTTCAGCTACTGGGCTTAGTGCTGGATGTTGGCTGTCACTGACAGTCAGAGGTTCCAAGCCACATGATGACCAGGATGACCCTTGAAAGAAATCGCTCATTAGATTAACTTTTGCTGAGGGACCATGATACCAAACTGTTGGGCTATTGTACACATCCCATTGCACGCTTAAACGATAAGTCCCTGTAGAGCTCTTGGGGGTGCTGCAGTGACAAATCAACAAGTCTTTATTGACACTTGGTCATAGTATCACAAAAATCACAACATTTTGGTGCCACACAGGGTCCCTTCAACAGGTAAACATTGTGATGCTGGATGATGAAGGGTCAGAATAAAATGTACACAACAGTCGGAGCTGCTGTCAGAATAATGTACACAATGGTTGGAGCCGCTGTCAGAATACAATGTACACAGCGCTAGATTTGTTTATTCACTCTGTTTAGCATGGATGGAGGAAGCTGTCTTATTTTTTCCGGTTATATAACCATGTGTGCCCAGCTTTAGGGGGAAATCTTTCAATGAGGACTGTTTTAGTGACAACTGCCTAAGAAGGGAACTCCCCTCACTTTGGGAGACTTCCTCTAACTTCTTTTTACATCTCTGGGACAGAAAGTGAAAGGAAATCTACCCAGCAGTACAAAGACAGCAAAATTCACATGAATTCAAATCCTTCTCTACTTTATACAAAACATTTTTAAAAAAAAGTTTTGGCTATACATGCACATTAAATTGACGACCCTTACCAAAGTGGTTCCTGTGTTTAGTCCCATACTATCTAAAAAATATATTTTAAAAAACAATATATATTTAAAAAAAATGTACTTTATTCTTTTTGAATTGACCAATTTTCCATGGATATGATGAATCAATGCAGAGAAAAAATACATTCTTGTGAACTTAATAATGTTACCCAAAGGCTATTAGTTACTTAAAAAAATCATAGCCATAAATATGGTGGAATCTCCTTCTTCACAGACCATAATATCTTTGTAGGATGGGATGCAATGGACCCTCCTCTCCCATGTGGTGTTCCTAGATGCCCAGATGGGTATGAGTGCAAGGAATGGATTGGACCCAATGATGGAATTACTCAGTTCGATAACATCCTATTTGCGGTGCTGACCGTCTTCCAGTGTATAACCATGGAGGGCTGGACCACAGTGCTGTACAATGTATGTACTGTCATTTCCTTTTTCCTTTTTAATTAGCCTTAAATAGGGTTTGTCCCTAATGGACATTTGAACTATTCTAAATCTTCACTCATAAACTGTGTATTATCACCTTTCAGGCTTATTGACATGTACTTGTATTTCCTCCCTGTCAGGCTGTGAGGCTATTTTATCCCCTACCTGAGGTCAGTGCTGATAAAATACACTTAACAACTGTCATAAACTTAACAACTGTCATAAACTTAACAACTGTCATAAAAACATGTGCTGTCATAATTACAATAATTTACACTTTTCTCCCTTCTAGCAACCTGGGTTGAGTGTCAGTTATCAGCACTGAGCTCAGGTAGACAAAACCTCCTTGAAGCCTTCCAAACTATTTCTAACTATTTTTTAACGGCAGAGGGAATACAACTTGATGACAACACACACACACACACAAATCCTACAAAAATGTGTTAGATTCAAGTTTGTAGCAACCATGCAATCTGCAAATGTAAACTGTGTATTTCAAGTTCCTATTGTTGTTTTCATGTAAATATTACTATCCAAGTCCTCTAATCTCTAACGGTTTTACTGTGTAACAGTGGTAATTGTAACTTAAACTATGTTTAAAAAAACTTACTATGAACACATACTAAGGCACCTAAAGCAGCTTTTGCCAAAAGAGCTTAAAAAAATTATATAAATTATATTTTACCTTGAAACATAAGTGGATCAAATGTGCACAAAATTAGCTAGCCTGGATTAATACATTATAACAATAATATTGTTCTTATTTATCAGTGGAGCCTATAAACAGTATTTGTGGGCTTCATTTACACAGGAACTGCTGTCTGCTCACCTGAGACACTAACAGCTGATTCCAGTGATTTTGCTGCGTACACTAGCTGTACCAGTAAAGGAAGCAATGTGCACACCCAAGGTTTTTTGAGCATTTTTTTTTTGTATGCCTGAAAGCTAACTGCAGCCAAACTTCCACTTCCTCTCCAGGTGAAGGCTGTCGGACAGAACTGTAAGGGAATAACTGACAATGGTTCCAAAGCTTCCACACTATCTAAAACTAATAAAATAGTTTTGATTGAAGCTTGCCTCTAAGTGCTAATTCACACAGTGAACCTGCAATTTGGCCATGCAGGTCAAACAGTTTTTTTTTTTTATTACTAGCCTCACCAGTGGCACATACATTCACTGGACCAGGGATGTGAGGATGAGGTCCTTGTTATCATCAACAGGGGGACAGAGTGCCTTGCCAGAGAAAGAGGCTTCGCCAACCTCCCTTGCAGGATACCCTCCAAGTGTTGACGGTATGTGGCCTGTTAAGCTTTAGGAGGAGGAGGGGGTGCACTTGCGCTGTTTGTTCCCTTTCTTGACTAGCAAGGCTGCCTGGATAAGGTTCTGGTATGGATTTAAAGGGGCAACCCACGCCATTTTTTACAAGCAAAGCAAAGGTGACAGGAAACTGTATTTCATCAGCGATAGTTTATTGATTTATATTTTTGGGCCTGCACTCTGCGGAACGGTATTTTTAAAACAATTTTTTTTCCTTGGTACATGTCCCCTAAGGCAGTGCACAGCTGCTTTCACCCTTTTTTTAAAAAGCGCTTGCAAACTGGGCTTAAAATTTGATTCCCATAGAATTCAATGGGGTTTACAGATTGCCCACTGGGTTTGGCAAATATCCAGCAAACCAAACTTTACCCGGTTTGTTTGTCGCTAGTGAAGACTAGATTGGCATACGCTGCTGTGGGTGCCAGCTTTAAGTGAATGTATTGCTTCGCTTTTTATAGCAAAGTACAGATTTACTTTAAGAGTAGAACCAGTTAGAATTTGCGCAGTCAGACCAGTCCAAGATAAATTTTTGAATGTTATGGGTTATTGCACCTAACAATTAAGATTTTTTTTTTAATAAAACCCGCTCACAACAGTGCATTGAAGTAGCTCCTGCATACTTAATGCATTGTGTTGAGCAGCTTATTCATTTTAAACAAACTGGTGCCTTGTGTAGGTGGTCGTGGTGCATTCAAAATGAATAGCACAGCAACACATCAGACTCTGCTCCATGCATTACCATGCATTGCAGTATTATACATTTTGACTGCGTGATACTGCAATGCACTAGTGTAGACAGGCTTAAGGCTCAGAATCGGTTTTAGATTAGACAATATCATCATTACATTAATGGAAATGTGTCTGTAAAGATGTTGAGCTACTCATAAGATGGTGTTCTGAAGAAAAACACCCTGTATAAGACTATCAATTTATGCTATATAATGATGATTGACATATGATAATAAGGTAATATAGTGAAATCATTATTCGTAATTCTGTCTTGGAGAATAATTGTGTAATTGGAAGCTATTCACAGTGGAAGCTCATCTCTCTGATAATTACTCTGATCAGTGATATGAATTAGAAGGTGGAGGAGGCTGCAGCTTTCTCTCATTACCTATAGTGAGTGCTGCGCCACAGCTTTACTTTTCTATCCAGGTGTACCCTGTCGTATCCAAAGCTGCCAGCTGATGCATGAAAACAAAGTTCAATTATCTATGCCGTATTACAAGTACCATGGCGACAAGGGTTTCATGTCCCCACACCGTTGTGACACATGCAGTTATCATATGTAAATAAAAACACCATGCACTAAAACGAGAAGGGGGTTATATGGAGGTGTGAACTAATGGCATCATTGGTTGCTAGGACACACAGGGAAGGTTTAGCAAGGGAACTGGCCAAATCATTCTTCTGTTCAATGAACTGTGATGAGCTTGGGTTCGGGTCGAACTCATTGTTGACCGAAACGTCAAGCTAATCCCTACTTCTTATTTGCGCTTATTCCTGTGACTTTTTTTTTTTTTATTAATATTTTTTAAAGGAGTGGTTGCCAAAGGTACTTACTATAGGTCTCCTTTAATAACATTTAAAGTGACCGTGTCAGGGAGTCTGCAAAAACACAAAAGAACAAACCCAGTAGAAAACAGCTTTATACATCCCTGTCTGTTGACCTGTTTGCTAAAACTTGCAAAGCTCTAGGCACTGATCCGAATGTAATCCTTGGCCTGGACGATTAGCAAGGCCCTCCACTGGTCCCTGTGGTTCTATCATTTCTATCCAAACTTTATAGATTGCCATCATCTGCCAGCCACACTCATTAAACCCTAGATGTTGGCAGTGTTAAAGCATTTGGTTTTAATTTTTTTATTCATTTATTAATAATTGCCCACCTTGCAGGATTTGGTACTGTCTTGCATCCTTCCCTTTGCTGGAGTAACATCACCATAGCAACCAATAGACCAGTCAGATAATGCTCCTGACCTCCTGCAGATTGCAGTTGGTTTGATGCATTTCCTAGGATTATTCTATGAACAATACAAATGGTTGTGTTGTGATGAGAATGATAAATCATTGCAGCCGTTCAGATTTCAGCTGACTGGGGTGGGCAAACACAGGATTTCTGATTGCTACGATGTGCTACACTTTGCACACCATCATTGCTCTGTACTGCTTTATTGCTTCTTTTTTTCCCAATAGAAAGCTCAAAAATTATTTTATAATGAACTGTTAATCCTAACAGCACATTGAATTTGCTAGTAGGGCTGCAACTAACAATTATGTTCATAATTATTTGTTGGCCAATTATATTTTTTGATGAATCGGATCCCAAAAAAACCCCTCTTTTATTTAAAATAAAATACATTAATGGAGTGTTGCAAACATAAAGTTTACTTCAGAATAAAACTGCATGCACATTTTTTGCAATCGCACTGCACTGCATTGTGGTACCCCGCGTTCCAGTGCAGGCGGTCACACTGTGGGCAGGAGGTGCGCTTGGGGTCCCATTAAAAAAAATTTGTCAGGTCGAAACCTCAGCTTTTTATTCATGAATATTGGCCCGATAATTATTGCTCTCACTATTGCATGTGGCGATACCTGACGTGTGTAGCGTGATTGTTGTTTTTTTTACGTAGAAGCACCCAACTTGTGTTTTGTTAGTATGTGCACGTTAACGGGGTCGGGGGACTTTACATTTTTCTTTTTGGTATTTTTTATTTGTTTATTTTACTTAACTTCATTGCTATAACATGGAGGGGCTCACAAGCCCCTATGTGATAGCGCATTGGAGATGACAGGTTCTCTTTAAGGGGACATTAGGGGTTTGTTAGGCCCCAGGTGTCACCTTTTCACTTCAATAGTTTTAGCCAGGGAAGGACAGCTACCTGCTAAGGCAGCTGAATGTAAACATGGCAGGCAGTGGCCGGGAGCAAAAGCCAGCCTGCTATTGGCTATTGCAATATAAAATGGCCAATAGCTTTCTTTTTAAGACATTGTTCACCTTTTGGAAAACATAATAATGCGCATGTGCATTTATTATTTTCTTGCATTGGAGCCTGCAAAGAATTGCAAAAATGATCAGTAGATCATTGCAGCATCCTCATTTGTTCAGAAGATAAGCTAGTAACTGATCCAAGGCTGTAATGCTATCATACATTTTTAAGATGAGTTGGCAAGTAGAACTGAAACAAACATTTTTTTCAGTTTTTGGGTCGAGTAGAGTAAATAAGGGTTATAACCCTGTGTCTCATTTTAGAGATTTACCTTCACTTGCTATCCGATAGCTACAACAGGACGTTGTGGGAGGGAACTGAGTGAAATCCCTGGTGGTCAGCAGGGTCACCAGAGTTAGTGTCCCTATTGGAAGATTTCCAATCTATTCCTGTTCTAGTGAGCGCCCAACATTTGGCATTTTGTTTCATTTTCAGTGATCAGTCAGCAGGAGAAATAGAGATGTTAAATCTTCCTAACGGGAACACAGACAGCAATAAAAAATTCACATTTCTAATCCCCTTTCACTATATACAAAATTAGAAAAAAATGTCTGGCTTCAGTTGCACTTTAAGCATTGAATGTAAAGGACATTAACCCGTGACAGTCAAGATTTTATTTATTTGTTGTAATCAAATGAGTGAACCAATTCAGTCTGATGAGTTGCTGTGTTTTGTTGC